ACGGAGTGAATGATGATGAAAGGTTTTCTTTTTCGGGCCACCCTGCCTTGGTGGAATCGGCCGATGTGTTAAAAAAAAAAGGTCAATCACAAGCATCACCTGCTGGTAAGATCATTTCTAGTATCATCTACCGGTGAGGTCACCCCAGCTTCAATACGTAATATCTTTATTTTACTACAAGTACGTGTACAAGGTATACAGGCCTAGCTTACATCAGTGACATACTACAATATAGAAAGCCGCTTGTTATGCTCAGGATTTCGGGCAAATTAGGTCCTTGTCCCAGGATGCGACCCACACCAGTCGACTAACACCCAGGTACCCATTTTACTGATGGGGAACATAGACAACAGGTGGAAAGAAACACGTCCAATGTTTCTACTCGGGCTGGGAATCTAACCCAGGTCCTCGCCGTGTGAAGCGAGAGCGTTAGCCACCAGGCCACCAGAGCCACAGCTAAGGCCGCCTCCAGCATCACCTTCAGCTAATGTCACTTCAGCATTATCTACAGGTAAGGTCCCGTCTTTCACCTACATGTAATCTCACCACAAGCAGAAATATCTACAAGAAAGGTTACCTCCAACATTATATAAAGGTAAGGTCACTTACAGCATCATCTTCAAGTATGGTTATTTCCACAGTCATTTACAAGGTCACCTCCATCACCTACAAGTAAGGTCACCTCTAACAGCACCACCTACAGGTAAGGTTATCTCCAGCATCATCACCTGCGCGCAAGGTCACTTCCAGCTTCATCATTCACATGGTCACTTCCAACAACATCTACAAGGTCACCTCAGCATCATAATCCATAAGATCACCTCCTATATCACCTGGAGGTAAAGTCACCTCCAGCAGCATCACCTACAGGAAGCTCGTCTTCAGCATCATCACCTATAGGTAAGGTCACTTCCAGCAGCTTCACCTATAGGTAAAGTCACCTCCAGCATTATCTACATTTAAGGTCACCCCCGTTATCACCAATTACAAAGTCACCTCCATCATCATCTATAGGTAAGGTCAACATCAGCATCATCACTTACATGGTCACCTCCAGCATCACCTACAGTTAAGGTCACCTCCAGATTCATTTACAGGTAAGGTCACCACCAGCATCATCACCTACAAAGTCACCTCAGCATAACCTACAGGTAAGGTCACAGCATCTTAACCTACAAGGACACCTTCGACATCACCTACAGGTAAGGTCTACAAAGTCAGCTCCAGCATCACCTACTGTTAAGGTCAGTTCCAGCATTACCTGCAGGTAAGGTCACCTCCTGCTTCATCACCGTAAGAGAAAAAAGAGAGATGGAGGGTTTTCCCTGAGGAAAATGTTTGTGGAAAACTAAACTGATAAGAAATATAACAGAAAGAGAATAAAGTCCAATGAATTATGACTTTTAATATTAAATAATAACATGAAAGAAAGACACAAATTAATGTACATGGACTAAGAAGGGTTAGTTTACAACAGCAAAATTAATTCCCCATTCAGAGGATCAGTGACACAAGGACAGATGTCATTGAGACAGTTTGGAATTCGTCCACAAGGTGACGTTGTGACGGGTCTCAGCACTATGTGGTAGATAATGAGTACAACGTTGAGTCACAAGTAGGCCTTTGATTGGTTCAGTGGAGACTGACTCATGAAGAAAAATATTTGGCCAGACGCCTCAGGGATGATGATCTGTACCTCAGTCATACGAGCGTCCAAGACCCCGCTTGAGGTATGTATACAGGAAGTGCAAAATAAAATCCCGTTTGCTTCCAGATCTCTCTTTATGGGAAATAAAGACATAAATTGAGAACTGGGAGACAACAAGAGGTTATATGAACAAAGTGTAAGGCCAACGCATTAGATAGTACTTAACAAAAGTAAGAAAATGAATTTGAAGTCCTTGATACAATAGAAAGTTCCTGATCATTAACCTGGTCGTAGAGACCAGGTTAATGGTTATACCTGGTGTTATACCTTCTAGGTATAACACTAAATGAAAGCGTTAATAGCTGACGTAGACTGCAGGGCGGGTGTAGGTAAGTGAGGAGTCAAGAAGCGACTTCCCTGAAGAAAGACGGAGAAGAACAGAAGAGAAACCCCAAAGAATAATGAGGAAAGACGTCAGATGACGAATCGTGAAAAAAATTAAGGGAATCCCTCATTAGATGGCGCTACATATGATCCATCCCGAGAGAGAACTGAAGACCCTAACAATCGGACTACAGTTATATGAATCAAACAAACACTGTCTACCCCGTTTCATTAAAAAAAAAAAAAACTCATCGAAGTCTTACATTAGGAGATAATATTTGGAATTTAACTACAGTACTGACAAGATTCATTTCAGAAACCTGACGTTGGATCATTAAAAATTTTCCAAATATTTCATTTGACGATTGAGTGTCAGCTTCAGTGTCAAAACTTCGTCAAAAAGATAACATTTTAACCCCTTCATTCCCAGAATGATGGCATAATATTCCTTTTCTACACTCGTTTTGGTCCGACTCGGATCATTAACTACTGACTAGTGACTAGTATACTAGTGACTAGTTAACTAGTGACTAGTTAACTAGTGACTAGTTAACTAGTGACTAGTTTGCTAGAAACTAGTTAATGGTCCGAGTCGGACCAAAATATAGTCATAAGTTTCATTATCCTATGTGCAGGAATTATTTATCTATTGTTCCAGTAACAGTATTGTTCCAGTAACAGTATTGTTCCAGTAACAGTATTGTTCCAGTAACAGTATTGTTCTAGTAACAGTGTTGTTCCAGTAACAGTATTGTTCCAGTAACAGTATTGTTCCAGTAACAGTATTGTTCCAGTAA